GCCCAAGTGTGGCTCGGGCCAGCCATGGTCACTAGGTGGGCGCACAGAAATCCCCCGGCGGGCGCCCTGGCGCCCGCAGGCACCGCGTTGGGGACCACTGTCCTAGACCCTTTTTTAACATTTGAAAATCAGATTTCTTCAGTGGCCAGGAGTGCCTTTGGGCAACTTCGTTTGATCCACCAGCTGCGACCCTTACTGAACAAGCATGACTTGGCCACAGTGATCCATGCTCTTGTTACATCCCGACTGGATTGCTGTAATGCACTTTATGTGGGGCTGCCTCTAAAGAGTCTTCGGAAACTTCAGATGGTCCAGAATGCGGCTGTTCGAGTTTTAACTAACACTAGTTATATGGAGCACATTATGCCAGTGCTTTGGTAGCTGCACTGGCTTCCGGTATGTTTCTGGGCACAATTTAAGGTTCTAGTTATGACCTGTAAAGCCTTAAATGAGTTGGGTCCCGGGTATCTGAAGGACCGTCTTCTCCCATATGAACCTTCCTGGGGATTGAGGTCAGCTGGGGAGGCTTTGCTTCGTGTTCCCCCACTTGTGGAGATAAGTTTAACATCTACGCGGAACAAGGCATTCTCAGGTTTTGCTCCCAGGCTGTGGAATTATCTTCCTCGGGATATTTGCATGGCACCAATGCTAGCGTTGTTTCGGTGTCAGGCTAAAGCCGCCCTTTTTATTCGTGCTTTTATTAATGGTTGAGTTTGGATGTGCGTGTTCCTCCTCTCTATATGTTTTTAGCTGGTTATGTCCCTCTGGGGTCTCATATTTTAAATTTTATATATATTTGTATTGTGGTTTTTTGTAAGCCACTTTGAATATTTTAAATAGAAAGGCGGGGTAAAAATATTTAAATAAATAAATAAAATTGGGTGCCACGGCAGCACACATCCAAACCAGCGCACGTGACCTCAGTATTGGTGCACAAGCCAAAACTCCCTCTACTCATAGTTGGAAAAACTTAGAGGAAACACTGGCTGTGAGCTCCGCCCCAGTGCCGTGTGGTGTCTCCTGTGAATAAAGGCAGAGACAGGAGGATTTGCAAGAGCCCACGCAGGCAGTGCAGTGCTCCTCCATTATTTCCCTGCAACCCCTCCTGCTTGGAGATGTAGGCACAGGAGCAATTGTGCTCTCCCACTGCCAGCTTTTCTACACAGTTCCTTATAGCATCTGCTGCTGGAAAAGACATGACCTAACGTAGCTATATGTTCTCCCAGTGTTCTACACCAACTGAGGGAGGGAGAGGCTAGAAAAAGCCAAGCTGTGAGCAGTTTGATTTACAGGATATGAATTTGCACAGAATCTTTTCTATTACCAGGAAAAGATGGGCTTAGATGGGCATCTAGCTGGTTTACCTTAAATAAATAACTCCCCACATGTAGGTTCGGAACCACATGGCAGTGCCCGAGTTAGCCTGGTACTTGCGGATCAGGATGGGGTGAGGGACAGGTAACAATCCCACTAGAGTGCCATGCTGCAAGAACTTGAGGATTTCAGATTCATCTGTGAGGCCCCTGCAAGCAGAGAGAGAGAGAGAGAGAGAGAGAGAGAGAGAGAGAGAGAGAACACGTGAGCATCTATGACATCTTCGGATGTGATTTGTGGGATCAGCTGCCGCAGAAAGGACTGATCCAAACACACACATACAAACTGAGCATGGACAGATACACACAAGGAGCCTCTGGACGAGACTCCTGAGCTGCTCGTGCTGAAAAGAGGAGATTATATAAGGGATGAAATAAACAGCAAGTCTGGGGAGAGCTCTAGCACCTGATAGTTGCTGAGGTTGTAAATACAGCTGAAAGTACAAGAGTAAAAAAACAAACAAAAAAGAGATGAATTTTAATTAGTACCCTGATTTCCTGGACATTAAGCACACACTCAAGTACATCCCTAATAAAATCCTGGATAGTCTCCCAGATCACTTCCTATCCGTTTGCTGCTCACAGGCAGCCTCCCATCAACCCCCTGAGTCTCCTCTTAGGTAACACCCCACACTTACTTATCAATGCAGATCTTCTCCACCTGGGGGACCAGCACCTGTAAGAGCCGCATGATTGTCTGCAGAGGCAGCTTTGATTTCCAAGACAGCACCTGTGGGTGAAAAACCCCCCAATGAGATTGGTGCCCCAAGAAGATGGTATAACTAGCTCACAGGTTGTGTTAGGCTACATCTACACTGGCACCCTTTTCCGGAAATGCTTAAAACAGAACAGTTTTCCGTTATAAGTATTTCCGGAAAAAGTACGTCTACATTGGCAGGATGCTTTTCCGGAAAAGCGTCCGTGGCCAATGTAGTCGCGCTTTTCCGCAAAAAAGCCCCAATCATCATTTTCGCGATCGGGGCTTTTTTGCAGAAAAGACTACTGTGCTGTCTATACTGGCCCTTTTCCGGAACAGTTTTTCCGGAAAAGGACTTTTGCCCGAACAGGAGCAGCATAGTTTTTCCGGAAAAACACTGACAATTTTACAGTAGATTGTCATTGCTTTTCCGGAAAAGCAGGCAGCCAGTGTAGCCAGCTGGCAAATTATTCCGGAAAAGCGGCTGCTTTTCCGGAATAAGTGGCCCAGTGTAGACACAGCCTTAATGTTTAGCAACTCAAGTATCTCTACTCACAATATGCTGAATATTCAGATTTGGAAATCCCTGAAGAGGGATGTGTATCTAGTGGGACAAACAGCCTGACAGTGGGAAGCCCTGAAGAGGGATATATCCAGACTAAGGTCTCTTTGTAAGGCCTATCACATTAGTAGAGAAGCCTGGATGCGGACCCAAGGCCTGACCCAAAACGCGCTGAGTCTATGGGAATCAATCTCTTAGCTTTGGATCAGGCCCCAAGTCAGTGGCAATCTCTGCAGAGAGACCTGTCTGCAGCAATATCTCGGCGCAGCTGGGAAATCCCAGTTTTGCAAACATCAGTTCTACCCAGTTCCCTTCCTTGGACGTTTCCCCATTCCCGTTCCTCTCACCCAGTCAGGAGTCGGCGTCCACTGCCCACTCAAGGATGCACTGGACAGACGCCTTCGGTCCCGTTTGGGCTGCGATACCTCCTATTAAAATACACTCCAAGTCAGTACAAGCATGGAA